CCGGGGGGGCACAAAGGGGCGGGGCCCCAGCCAGCGGCGTGGCACACAAAGAGCCCACGGGTGCCGGCCTCGCCGTGGGCACCGCTCCCAATTGCCGACCTCGGCCCGGCACCCGCCCGGCTCTGCCGGACACCACAGCGGTCCCATGGGGCTGGCTGGAGGCTAACGCGCCCTGTGTCCCCTCTGCTAGGGCATGGGACTCTCCCCACAAAGCTCCCAGAGCAGCAGCTGAGGTGGCCCAGGCCACGGCCACATGGACGAGGACAAAGAGCCATTGAGGAGCGCGGCTGCATCCCAGGATGCCCCCATGCCCCTCAGGCACCCGTCCTGGGATGGCGGCCAGACGGCCCCAGCACCCATGCGCTGTTTGGGTCCAGTCCCTGCAGAGCAGGTGGCACCAGGAGCAGCCTCTGCTCAGGTTGGTTGTTGGGTTATTAGCAGCTTGGGGGCTGCTCCATCCGCTCTCCCTGGCGGGCACCCTGTGCCCTCCCAGCTCCCCATCTCGCCAGGCCCGGCCCAGGAACACGCAGCCATCTCCTCCTATTCTTGACCGGCAACGATATTTTTCCAGCCCGCAATAACAGCGGCCAAGGAAACGGCTCCGTTTATTGTTTCGGGCAGGGCTTTCCCACCCCCCAGCCCCGTGAATTCCTACTGCTCCTCATCTTACACCGGCCCCATGCTCCCTCCCCATCCCTGCTCCAGGGAGGGCAGCACCCTGCTCCCCTTGGAGCAGGGAGGGCTCCCCAGCCCTGTCACTCTGCAGCCACCGGCTGGAGCGGGGCTGTTCCCTGCTCCAGGAGCAGCCCCGAAAGCCTCCGCATCCCGTGCTGACACGCTAAGCAAAAGCAGCTTTCCATTTCGTCAGCGCTGCTTTTTGAGACCATTCACAGACTTCTGATGGTTTTAATTGAAATTTTCATTTTCCTTTTTTTTCCCTCCCTCTCTCTTTCATGGAAAAGGCAGTGGCAGGACTTGTTCCATGAGAAATCTCAGCTTCTGGTTCCAATTTGGATGAAGAACAGAATAATCAGCTCAAAAGGACCCTCAAAACAAGCTCCTTTCCCACAGGAGCTGGGAAAACCCAGGCAGCCCCAAGGGGCCGCTCACCCGACTGTGGCGGGTGTCTCCGCACCCGGATGGAGGGCACCTCGCGCCCGGTCCCTGCACGCCAGGCCCCAAAACCAAGTCCTGCCACCGAGCCACAGTCTAGGACGGCCCAAGGGAGGCAGGCAGCCCGTGTCCTAGCGTCATCTCCCACCCGTGCTGCTCTCTCGGTGTCCCAGCACAGGACACTTGCCTGTGCAAGCCCCAGCGAGCAGCTTTCACCCACAGCGGCTCCCCAGACTGTCCCAGCTCCCATCCCTCCTACAAAGTGGGGGATGGCATTAGCCAACGGCTTTTTAAAGCCAATGTCACCGCTTTTACGCGGCGTGCACAGCCGGAGATGCTCCAGCCTCCCCCTCAGCTGTCACGTTTGGCTGAACTCAGCAGTGACGCCGAGCTAGCGGAGCAGGGAGATGCCAGGAGCCCGAATAATTAAAAGCAAACACTCCCCGTCCAGAGGACCCCGCTGCATCTGCCCCCCGCACCTCAAAGCGCAGCCCGGGCAGGGGGAGCCGCCGGGCGCAGCAGCCCCCGGGCCGCGGGGCAGCGGCAGGGCCCCCGGGGGGGGAGCCCCGGGCGTCCCCCCACT